CTGCTGCCAGCTGCTGCTGCCAGCTGCTGCTGCCAGCTGCTGCTGCCTGCTGCTGCTGCCTGCTGCTGGCTGCTGCTGCTGCTGGTGCTGCTGCTGGCTGCTGCTGCTGCTGGCTGCTGGCTGCTGGTGCTGGCTGCTGGCTGCTGGCTACTTGCTGCTGGCTGCTGGCTGCTGGCTGCTGGCTACTGGCTACTTGCTACTTGCTACTTGCTACTGCTACTGCTACGCGCTACTACCACGACCACCACCACCATCACCACCTACTACCTACTACATTTTTGATGAAATCCTTAAAAATGTCTAGGGCTCAGGGCCTTTTTAAATTGCCTTATTAAAAAAACATTAAAAACAATCATTTGACAAGCTCACAAAGCGTACCCCTCACAAGGGCCGGTCCCCGATCAATAATCTGCACTACTACCCCCTATTAATTTGATCCTGTGTCCCTGGCCTTTTCTTTGTGCTTGTTTAAACTTGTTGTGACTACTACTACCTACTACCTACTACTACCTACTACCTACTACTACCTACTACCCACGACCTACCTACTACCTACCACCTACTACCTACTACCTACTACCTACTACCTACTACCGACGACGACTGCGACTACGATGGCTCCCTGAGCCGATAATTCAGGGGAGGTGGACCTCATGAGTGGTATCTCAGAGCTTCTTGACCTTGTTGACCTACCATGTGGGGGGGGGTTCATTATCGGAGGTTGTCATTATTAAAAGATGTATTAAGTATAGACTTTAACTTTTTTAACAGTTTAACTAAAAGTTATATAATCAAAACTAAAACTAACTTAAAATACAAAAGACTATATAAAGCCACACCCAAAGCAAAAAACATATATTGCGAAGCTTTTCTCGGGCCGATTAGCGGTCTGTATAAGACACTTCTCGATTTGTGCGTGTCATCTTAGATGAGCACATGTCATGCTTCTTGGCACTCCTCCTTTGAGTTGATGAGTGTGCCACTTACAACTCAACTTCAACTTCTTTACACCTTTCAAGGCTCTGGCTTCCCTTTACGGGTAGAAGTTGTGAACATGATGCACAGAGCTCTGCATCAAATCTTGCATTTCGGCCATCAGCGCACGATTCCCGTTGCGGTGGCCATGAAACCAATTTGCCTCCATCTTCAGGAGTTCTTCTTTTGAAACTAAGCCAGCCCTGTTGTACGCTCGGTTAAAGTGAGCGTACTGTCCATCAGGAATCTTGATTCCTTCAGGCTCCCAGGCGGCATCCACCACCTCTGGAGGGCTGTCTTCACTGCGCATGGACTCATCCCTCACTTCTTCTTCTCCTGGACTCGGCACTGGCTCCCTCACTGGCGATGTCGTCGCCTGTCTTCCACTCGGACTTTCTTCTCCGGGCTCCGCATACTCCACCGGGACCTCCACGATGCGTCCCTGGTCCAGGACGATCACTGCTGTGGCTCCACTAAGCCCTGGTTCACCTGGATCCACGTCAATGTTGACAATGCCATATCCAGGTGGCTGTTCTCCACGTTCTGCCTGAATGGCTTCCATTTTGCTCCATCTCCTTCGCAGCTTCAGGCCATCATGCCACCTGTTGATCTCCTCCAGGTAGTGCAAGCTTTGCCACTCAAGCCGCTGGACTGAGGCCTCCTCGACATGGCCTCCTGCAGTGATCAACCCTCGATGCACCCTCTCCACATAGTCAGCTGTCATAGAATTCTCTCGGTCTTGTTGGTCGACAGCTTCTCGATGGCTTTTGGAGTCCATCTCGATGCGATTGATCAGGAAGATCACTCTCTTTTCCAGTGCTTGCACCTTGTTCCACAGGATCATGATGGCAAACATCAGAAAGCCGAAGATCACCATGAGGACCATCCAGTGGAAGGGGATCGTGAAGTTTACCTCCATATAGCTTTCTTCCAGCTTCGAACCCGTGGTCAGCTCAAGACCGCTAAGCAGAATGATGCGATTGAGGTACTTGGCCACTCTCATGATCTTGCCCTTCTCGATGTGAGTCCTCTCAAAGTCCTGGTGCTCCTGCTCTCCGACTCGGCTGCCATCTTCATTCATGGCATGGCACCAAAACAGAAGTAGACGTAGTCTGGCCTTCGAGAGAGGTTTGGCGCCGATATCAGCCAGGTTGAGCACAGTGCTGATTTGCTTCACCTCCATGGAGCCGCTGGCAACTCGATCCTGGCACCACAACAATTTTCCACTAACGTGGCGCAAGCGACCAGCACCACGCTTGTTGGCGATTTGCTTCGTGGCAGAGTTGTCAACCCAGCAAACATGGTGTACCGAGTCTCCGGTGAGGAACTCTAGGGCGTGCTTGATGCAGATGCCATCACATGCTCCAGCAACAAGAGCGTGCAGCTCGCTCTCAGACGACGATAGGCTTATACCAACTTCTGACCTCTTGAGGTGTTATAGATGACAATGCCATTCAAGCCATGGATGGATGAGGATGTACTTCGTCGCGTTGCTCGATTGCCGCTCCAATCAGCATCCGTGAACGTCTCCAACAGCCACACCTCATGGCTATGCCCATGTAGACCTTCTCCTTGAACCGGCAGTGGGAGCAAGATGCGCTGACCCTCAGTCTCTTTGAGATAGCCCACCAACCTTCGAGCCTTCTGCATAGCGAGCTCGGTAGGACTTGACATCTTGCTTGCCAGCTCTTTCACCACGAAGCTGATGTCCAGCCTCTCTTGGGCGAGGTAAATGCCCATGCCCACGATGGATCTGTAGATTGCAGCATCCTCTTGTGGCGCCACATTTGACCCATCAGCATCTTGAATCTCTGCGGTGGCTGGCAATCGTTGCTTGCGGACTGGGCCATACTTGTCTTCAAAGGCCTTGATCATCTTCGTGGCATACTGTCCTGGCCTCACTAATAGGCCTTCTGGCACATAGGTGTACTTGCGCTTCAGGAACGAGAACTCCTCATTATGCTCCTTGATCATGGAGACTTCGACATCAAACTTGTCCCTTAGCTTCTTCACGAAGTTCTCCACAGGGATTTGGCGTCCAGTGAACATCACATCGTCCACATGCACAAGGACACAGACCAAATTGCTTCCAGCGCCTTGCTTTCCCAAACATGGATTCACCACATCAAAGGTGAACGAAAGCTCCTTCTCCAGGTACTCCCGTAGGAATTCATACCAGGCTTTGGCACCTATCCTCTGGCCAGGGATGTTCTTCAGGACCTTATAGTACCCTGTGGCCGTGGTGATTTGCAATGGTCGCTCCCGAGGCACCTGCAGGAAAGCATCTTTGATGTCCCATGCTCCAAGAATCGGTGGTCCTTGATCTCCAAGACCTTGGCTTACCACCACATTTGTTCAAGAACAGTGCCTCCATCAGCTTGAACGTAGTTCTTCACCCGCCAGTCATGGACAAATCTGGTGGTCAGTCGATCCAGATGTGCATCGTCTATGGTGAGAGGTTCAAGTACACCCATCCTCGTCAGCCTCTTCTCCTCCACCTTGTTGGCCAAGAGATCAACCTCGATGTCTGGCTCTGGGGCTGTCCTCGTCAAAGGATGGTCACTCCGTAGCCCTTCAGGAATTGCGCCCGGCTCCAAATTCTCCAGGTCGTCCACTTCCTCCTCGATGGCCATGGTCTCAACATCCAAGACCTCATCAAGGTGGTACATCGTGTCCTCTCCAACACACACCTTTTTGACTCTTCTCTCGACCATGTCCTGGTGTTGCGATGAACTTGATCCACTCGGTGGTCCATCTATTCGACGAGCTCGTTTGGCTTCTGGTTCAGCCTTGACTGCTGTCTCTGGAGGTGGGAGCTTCTTCAGGATTCTCCCTTCAGGAGGTGCTTCACTTGCTTCCTTCTCCCATGGCAGTGGTTCGAACACCATTGGGATGTCTCCTCCTGTGCCCCTTTCTCCAGGTTGACTACCAAGAGCTGGGGGAGTTTGCAATCCTTCTCTCTGCTCATCAAGTTGCGGGGCAGATGGTGCTGGGCCTCCAGGTCCATCAGCCAATGCTCCTCCATCAGGTTCTCGAGCTTCCTCAATCTCTCTTTGACTCTCTTCAAGCCCTTCCTTGGACTTTGCATAGCGCTCCACCTCCTCTGCCTCCTCATCTCTGTATCGAAAGATGATCTCATCACGAGGTGGTGCAGGTCCCAATTGAAGGGGTACTGCACTGGCGGCCCGCTCTCGGTACAATGCGGCCTCCAAAGTTGATCTGGTACTCGAAGGTGTGGGTGGCAAAGTTCTGGTAGTAGGCGCCGAAGTTCCTCCAGGGTCGGTCGATCCTCTTGACAGATCTGGTGAGAATCACCTGGCTGCCATCGCCCACAATCCATGCATCTTGGCCTTCTGTCTTGCCTAGGAACAGCGTCATCCTCCATCTTGGATTGCCCTTGCCAGATTGAGGCTTGACAAAGGCATACACTGGGCATCCAAAGGGAACCAAGGCACCAGTATAGGTCTTGCCGTGCACCAATTCATGGCTTGTGGTTCCTCTCGTAGCCTGGAACTTGTTCAGCAGCCAACAGGAGTGTCTGGCAGCCCAACTCCATAGACCATGGTTTGTGTTGAACTGCAGTCCAGTCTTGATCGCAATCTCCCGCATCAGGGTGCACGCCAGCCCACGAACCCTCTGAATGGCGTTCTCCGCCAGGGAATTTCCAGCTGAATCCTTGACCTTCATGGTGTACAGTCGTGTTCGAAGACCCATGGCGTGCCGGCTGTTCAGCAAGATCCTCAGCACTGAACGGATCGTGGGTTCGTTGTCTCCATACAGCCCAATCTCCACATGGCCAAGGGTCTGCACGAAGTTCATGATCTCCCGGGCCATTAGGTTCAGCTGTCCCTTTGACTGCAATGGCACTGCCCCCAAGCTTCCAGTCTGACTGCAGACCATGATGAGCCATAGTGCAGGTTTCAGCTCTTTGATGCGTGGTTCGTGTGGGCCTTCTTGATCATTCATCACGATCATAAAGATCAATCACTTCTCCATCTTCTGGATCTTGGCCTCTATCTCTCGGAACTGGGGCTCTGTCAATCTCTCCAGCTTTCGTGTAGGCGAAGTCCAGCGAAATGATTGGGATTCCACCAGTGTGCGCTGCTCCAGTCCTTAGGTGCCTATCAGGTCGTCCTCGATGTTGTAAACAGGCCTCGCACCAAGGCTGATATGGCACGTGTGTCAAAGCATGAAGTTCTTGTACCTGTTTGGACGGTACTGGCACGATGCTCTGCATCTTGGGCTGTCTTGCCATTTGCAACTCTGCTGCTGCCACAGCCTCAGAAGCGGCTTTGAGTTCACGCTCCTTCAAGTGGCTCGCAATCCTCTGGAAACACTTCATGCGGCTTCCAGATTGGCTAACGCCAATAGAAGTGGCATGCAGCACGTAGCTCTCGAAGCTTGCTGGTGGGAGTCAACTGGATGTCATTCACTACCACATGATCCGGTAGGCCAGCTTCCAACACCAGTCGTCCTTCTTGGTCTCCAGCTCCTCCTCCATCAACACCCTCTGCAACTGCAGGGATGACATCAGCTGCAGCTTCATCCATAGCACGTTGGGGCTCTTCCACTGGGATCTCATGCTCCCTCAAAGCCAAAGCATCATCCACCTTTGGCTGCAAGTCCAGACCAGTGTCCACCTCGAAGCCCATCTCCTCTGTGCTCAAGTCTTCTGCAGTGAGGATCGTTAAAACCAGGGTGTTCTCCTCGACAGCGTCAATGACCTCCTCCTGGTTGTCCAACCCGTGCAGATTCTCGCACATCTCGTAGAGCTGCCACTGATCCTTCACCTTCACGAGGGTGGTCCTCTTCCAATCTGTCGTGGAAGGAATCTCTCCACAAACTGTGGGGGTTGAAGCTTCTTAGCCAAGTGGACACCATACCACTTGTTCTCCTCCTGCTTCCAACCGACTTGATACCTCGCCTTCAACTGGAGGTCATCCATCAATCGAGCCTCCAAGACTCTGACCATCATGGGCTCATTCTGCTCCTCCACCACCGCTCGTAGGTGTCCTTCAGCAACAAGGCTCCTGTTTTGAAGCTGCAATGGGATCCTCACAACACTGTTGCCCTGACCAAAAGTCATGCAATGCTGGCTCCCATCATCACGTCCGGCCTCGATGTTCCAGCCTGCTTCCATGAGCTTGCCATAGGAGATGATTGGCTGGTTGATTTCATCTGAAAAGTGGGCCTTGTCAAAGATCTGGACCTCTCGCTCTCCATCGGCCTGAAAGATGAAACAGACCTGTTTGTACCCACGAACTGCAATGGGTACTCCTTGAGCATCCTGCAAACGTGGGGCTCCTTCACAAAGATCCGTGCCAACATCTAGAAATGAACTTGGCAGGATAGTGGCATCAGCGCCTGAGTCGATGATCACACCCACCGGGCCCCCATTCTCCATGCCATGGTGCTGCTGCTGCTTCACAGTCAGGATGTTATAGGTCAGCTTGTCGTCATCGTCATTGGGCTCAATCTCTTCAGAGATGGAGAAGAACTGGATCATCCTGACCTGTTTGTTGTCCAGGTTTGCCATTGACATTGGCCGTAGATCGAAGGTCATGGGCTCATTCTCGAATTCCGGGTGTGAAACCTCCTGGACTCTTTTGACCGTGCCCGATTTCCAGCTCGTGCTCTGGCTGGCAGTTGTTGGACTTGACGCAACCGTTCCAGTCTCTGCGTTGGTCTTGGCCGTGGTGGTCTCCTCGCTGACTTGCCTCAAACGCTGCCAGCAGTCTTTCAAGATGTGGCCAGCTTTGCCGCAGGTGTAGCAGACCTTGGAGTCGCCCTTTCCTTTCTGGCCTTTCTGACCGTCACCTTTGCCCTCCTTTCTGTTGACCTTTTCCTCCTGGATCTGGTTGCTTGCCATAGCCCTTGCCCTTGGACTTGCTCTTTCCATCACCTTTGCCTTTGCCCTTCCGCTCATAGTCCTTGCCCTTGCCCTTGGACTTGGAGTAGTCGCCACCTTTTCCCTTGATCCGGTCGATCTCCATGGGGATGGCTCCATCGGTGCTTCCAGGTTCAGCTCCAAGATTCATCACATTCGTCCATCTCATAGTGGCGTTGTCGTACTGGATGATCGCCTCTCTGAGCTTCTGGTAGTCCTGGGATTCCGCCACATTGAGTTGTAGCCAGGTCTTCAATTGGCCTCCAATGCACCTCATGAGGACTGCAAAGCGGATGTTGTCCTCCAACTTCGAGCCCGTCTTCTCATATTCAACAAAGGCCTCTTCGAGGCGGAGGACCTGGCCCAAAATGCTCCCTTTTCGCATTTCGAAGGGCTTCCACTCCAGGATCATAGTCAAAAGGCCGAGGGCGCGATTCTTCGATGCTGGTTCCAAGCTCTGCACCAGCAATCGATAGGCTTCCATGCCATTGGACTCCTTCACTTGGCGTACCATAGCCAGTGGGCGCTGCTTCACCAAGGACGCCAGCAGTGAGTAGAGGAACTTGCTCCTCTGCTTCTCCTCATCAGACTGGATGCTGGGGTCGATGGGATCATCAGGTCGAGCTCGAATGCCCTTGAAGTCCTCAGTGAACATGCCGTTCAAGGACGAGAGATACTGCTCAAGGCTCCAACTGAAATCTCTCCATTGGGTGAGCTCTTCCTCCCTGTTCTTGGCGTCGAAGGTGTTGGGCTTCGGGAGGACCTTGAACCAAGATTCTTCTCCCGAGTTCTTTCGGGACAGGGCTTCTGCGGCTGTCTTTGCGGCAAGGGACGCCGCTTCTGCAGCTTGGATCATCCTCATCGCGAACTCTTGGCCATCCATGGCCGCTGCAGCCGAGGTCGGTGAGCCCACTGCTTCACCTAAGCCAGCCATGGCCACCAACCTCCAACTCCGGGACCTCCTTGGGCTTTAGGTCGTGGTCCACCCTCGGGCAAAGGGGCCTATGGCGTCAGCTAGAAAGGAGCCTCCACCGGTCCCCTCGGGGGAACCGGCTTCGCAGGCTCCGCTACCATGCGAAGCTTTTCTCGGGCCGATTAGCGGTCTGTATAAGACACTTCTCGATTTGTGCGTGTCATCTTAGATGAGCACATGTCATGCTTCTTGGCATATATATATATATATCCCGATAAACATCCGCAGCCATCAGCCATCTTCTAAGAATGAACAAGGCTGCAACCCCTTCATTTTGCAACTCCATCTGCTGCAAAGCGTCTGCAAAGCTTTGACAACGCGGCTAACACTCCAAGTCTCATCAGGCTGCTCCTGAAGCAAGTGGCCCAATGAGTTGGATGCACCGAGCAAGCGAGGAGTGAGGGAGTGTGTTGGTCGGTCACAGTCAGGCTAGGGCAAATCGCTATCTTTTGAACAGCATCCTGCAGCATTTTGGTCCACATACCAGGGATGTTCACCGAGAGGCAGTAGTCAAAACCTCAAATCAGAGGCTGTAGAACCGAGCAAAGTGCGCTTGACTTCGTGGTGAATTGAATCGCGTGTCTGGGGCATGGGCCAAAGCCACCATCATCGACTGCTCGGCACAGGGTTGGCATCCCTGAAGAATCCTGCTTAGCTGATGTCTCTGAAGTCTCTTGAAAGTTGCTTGCTACTGCTGTCCTCAGCGATCGTCAATCCTGATCTAGGCAACAGCCTCTTGACCAAATAGTTTGCCAGCATCAGGTAGGTGCCTGACCTGCATGCAAATGAGTCCAAAAAATGGTTTACGTGCAAATCAATAGCACCCAAAGACAGATTGATTGGCTGAGTGAGAACAGTTATATAAGCTTCCTGTGTAAGCACTCAATGTTCCAGTGACTTTGAGGTGCATGCTCAATGTCAGCATCTCCTCCAAAGTACCTTTGACAAACAATGCTCTATGTAGAATCTAAACTATTCTATATAAACAACCTCAATCAAGATTCCCACTGGTGGTAGTCGTGGCCAAAGCGCTTTCCGATTCCATGGGAAATGTACCTTGGTCCAAATCCGACGGTGTGGCATCTGGGTGTGTACCTTGCTTTCCCCCTGACGCGGGTAGTTTCGCTTATCTGGGTACGATCCGAAAACAGCACAGCTCTTGGTCGGACACGTCATGCTAATCTTGCAGTCTGCTCAGCAAAGGCAAAGAAGATCAAAGAAGAATTGGGGCATCTTAGGTGATCTTCGACCTTTTACTGAGAACAGAATGTCTGCGGAGCAAATTTGATGTTGAAAGGCTTTGTCATCCACAAGACCGGATCGCATTGAAAACGAAACCTAAATGCTCCACGGTGTCTGGGCTAAAGTACTTTGATGCTCAATGTCGGTTCTTGGACGGCTGGTGCCCTTTCACTCCAACAAAGCGCTTCTGAGACGAGGTGCAACATACTGGTAACTCCTCCAAAGCGAAAGCCGTCAAAGCCATACTCCTGGAAGGATCTTGAGCTTTGGTCTAACCTGAATTGACTCACAATCTATCCTCAATCCACCATCGCAGGTTGGATAGCAAGAAACGCAGGACCTGAGGGAGCGAATGAGTGTACCAGGCGGTCAAGTCTTAAATATCCATTTTGCAGAGGAGCAGCACAGCCTGAGGCCAAAGCTTCATATTTGCTGTAGTCAAAGAGCGAAGCACCCCATTGTTCCTCACCAGGAAGCATGCTGAAGCCCTGTGAAAGGACAGTGACCAATTAACTAAGCCAGAAAGAGCAAAGCTCTCCAAACTCCTGCTTGCCCTTGTGACCACGATGCCTTGATCGGAATCCCAAGTACTCAATACTCAACTGCAACTGTTTCGGGGATACAAAGCACGCTGGTCAAGATCCCGGTGGCCAGGACTCTCGCGTGTAACAATTGTCTGTGCCATCCATGGCTGCAATCCCATCGATCCTTAGCGTGGCAGTTTGAGTGCTCAGGCGAAGCCGCCATCGAGAAAGCAGTGTCTGCTTAGGGTGTCGGACTGATTTGAGGAGCAGTGCGAATGAGCCAAGTCCATAAGGACAGTCAAGCCATAAGCGTGGGCTGTGTCAACCAGCTCCTGAGGCTAACCATAGCGAATCTAAGCTAAGCTAAACAAATCAAAATTAAACCTGATCTGTATACCAACGCTTCCGATTCCAAAAGCTCCTTGAGTTCTTCTGGGGTACCGAATCGGCTGCAGGGAGCAAAAAAGTTTGTCACCTCATAGCCTGAAGGACACGTGTATTCAAATCGATTCCAATTCTTGCATCTCACAGCTGCACTGGGGGCCACGACCAAAAGAGCTGTGGGATGCATGCTCAGCAACAGCCATGATCTGCGGATTGCGGACATACAGTATTTGCATCACATCTTACGGAATGCTGCGTTCCAAAGCTTAAAAATCTGGGTTGAGTGCAACGATGCTACTACTTTGTCTCACTACTGCTCACTCAAAAGACCCCTTCTATACTTCCCTTGCTACTACATGTCTGTATATCTTATGTTTGGAACCGATCGGCACCGAGACAACACAGCTCTGCCTGGAGGGCGTTGTAGCCTAGGCGTTTGATCCGAGGTAGGATTTCCTTGAACTCCAGATACCTTAGGGTGCAATTGAAAACGGTTGCAATAGTCTTTCTTCAAATTCAGAAAGACCCAAAGAATCCAAAGAGTGAAACACAGTGCGCGCCGTTTTGGACACCTGGGTTTGGGCCTTGAGTGCACAGCGTGGTTCCTATGTGTTCCAGCATGCCATCATGTCATTGGAAATGTCTCAGATTCTATCACCGCTCCTATGGCTTCTGGAACACAATGCGCGCATGTCTTGAGCATTCTCGCGGTGGCGCTATTGGCCAAGTGTCCACACCCTGGTTGGTGGTAACACGTGCTTGTCTTGCCCATTTGCCAATGCTTGCGCTCCAAGGTGAAACGTGTGTTCCGCAGCAGTTCGGTCATCTGTTGCTTTGCTTCTTGTTCAGCTTCTTTTGCGCTTTTCTTCCATAGTTCCGTGACTTCCCAAGCCTTTGCAGCATCTTCTGCCATCCTTTCCATCTCCATTGCTCGCTCATCATCTGTTCCGGCCAATCTGATGGCCTTCCTCTTGGCTTCATCTCTTTCATTCTTCACATTTTCAAGCTCGAAGCGCAGATCCGTGCACATGTTGTACACGCAGACCACTTCTCTTGCTTGTAGGTCTCGATCTCGTCGAGTATCCTTTAGCTTCTCTTCTTGTTCAGCAATGGCCACCTCCAAATGGATAATTTGCCACTGCGTGTTGACTTTCTCTTCTCGCTGAGGCTGTACAGGTTGCGACTCACTTGAACTTGTTCCACTTCTCACAAGCGGTCTTGCCGCATCATCAGCTATCCCTTCATTCTCATTCTCCTCAATGGGCTCTCCGTGACTTCGTCTTCCACGACACCATGTCTTCCTAGCCCCAATGGCCATTCGCGCCAGGCTCAAGGCCCCAACGCTTGCCAAACAGACCATGGTGATCAATGGCCGAATCCACCAAGCCTCATTGCTCTCCTCTTCATTTTCTTCTGGATGCTCGATTTCCGCTCCTTGGCCTCCTTGTAGTAGTGACAAAGCAATCACCAAGGCCGCCTTTGCATTTGCACACATCATCTTTGCCATCTTTCCCGTGTTCTTCTTGAGCTGCTCTTTGGACTTTATCTCTTCATATTGGGACTTTCCAATCTTTTCGTCATCGATGTCGACCATCTTGATCAGGTACTTCAGGCCACTCATCCTTGCCCTGCTCAAAATCTTCGCCCCACTGTCACTGGTGTTCACAGCTGTTGGGATTCCAGTGATCCTCAACTCCTTCGAGACCACCTTCTGCTGGAGCCACAACAAACCAGCTGCAATGTGGCGCGTACGCCCCACTCCAACTCGACCTGCAAGAGCTCTGGCTGCCGATGAGTCACTCCGGCATACCATATCCAGGTCTTCATTGGTCAAGAACTTCCAGCAGTGCTTGAGGAATAGCCCTTCACTGCGTCCGCCAACCATGGCCACATACTCGCTCTCCCCTGATGATAGTGCTATGGCTCTTTGACTCCTCACATAGCTTTCCAGCAGGCATCCATCCAGGTAGATCTGGACCGAGCTGACACTCTTCCTTGTGTCCCGTTGGCCTGCATAGTCGGCGTCACACCACTTCCAGCATGCTCTTTTTCTCCTCATTGAGGTCCCATTCATAGACGTTGTCATCGTCATTCAGCATGCCCCCCCCTTTCGTCCATTGTTCCAAGGAGGTATGAACTCACATGTCGCATGGCCTGCCAACTCTTCCTTGTTGGTTTCTGCGTGAAACCAGCTAGGCCTTGTGCGACGTATTGAACGTCAGGACGATCGGGAGCGATGTAGAGCAACTTCCCCACACAACTGCGGTATTTGGTGATGTCCTCGTACTTCATCGGTTCATCATCTTTGCTCAATCTGTTGAAGGTTCCATCACCAGGGGTTGTTCGACACTTTCGCTGCTCCACATTTGTGAGTTTTGCCAATTCTTTGATGTGCTGCTTGTCTGGTCTGATGGTGATGCCCTTGTCAATCAGCTCCATTTTCTCTCTCTTCAAATAGCTGAAGTTTCTCACGTAGAGCGGCCCTCGCTTCTCTGTCTTCCAGCCTTTCTTCTCCATGTAGGTGATGAACTTCTCCACTTCAACTTCGTCACCAATCAGAAGCAAGTCGTCCACGTGGATGGTGAGATACAGCTTTCCACCCTTCTCACTTCCTTCATTTGCTTCTGGTTTCTTCATCATGGTGGACTGCATCGTGTCTTGCGCCAATCCAAACTCTGTTGCCACCTTACAGAAGCCATTGAACCACTGGGCTGCAGCATTGCGTTGTCCTGGTAGATTTCGCTTCAGCCGATAGGTTCCATTGTCGGTCACCACCAATGCTCTCTCATCCTCAGGCTGGTCCATCAGGAGGAATGCACCTTTCACATCAAGTGTATAGAGTGCCAGGCCACTCTTCATCTGCAGTCGAAGGAGCATTCTCACGATCACGGACGCAGATGTAAGTGCGAATGCGTCCTCAGTGAAGACAGACCACTTGAATTGTCTTCCAACCAATCTGGCCCTTCTGAACCAACCTCCTTTCTCATCCCTGTGTTTGCAGGTGATGACCATCTTTGACGTGAGCACGTAGGAGCCTTCTTCTGCTGGCTCATTCATCTTCAACTTCTCGAGGACGCCCATCTTTTCCAACCTTTCTTCTTCATGCCTGCATGCTTCAGCATCCAACTTTGCTAGCTCTTCTTCACTGACCTCGGGTGGTTTCCCAATGCCTTTCTCTTCACCTTCATCGTCACTGATCTTGTTGAGCTCATCCTGTAATATGGCTTCTCCAATCAATTCATCTCCACCTGGAAAATCCTCTTGGATGCTATTCACACGTCTCTTTGGGCTCATTCTCCTCTTTTCATCATCCTCATCATCCCAAGGCAGAGCATACTCTCTCTTCGTACCCAATGGTGGAGTCACCGGCGCCAGGTTGCCCACGATTTCCTCCATCTTCTGCTTCTTTGGACTTGTCTCAAAATCTTGACCTCCTGGCAGAAAGTTCCGCGCCGGCTCACCTCGCATTGCCTCTGCGATTGGAAGCCTTGCCATCTTTCGCTTTGGAACTTCTTTCTCAGCAGTCAACGCCATTTGAGGAAGCTCCTTTGAATCTGAGGATGAACGCTTTGGCTCCAATGGCTGCTCTGGTGCTGCTGGCGCCTTAGGCGCTGGACGTGCTGGTGTTGCAGGCATAGGCACCGCCACTGGTGTTTGTAGCGCCGGTGTTTTACTTGCTGGTTTTGGAGCCGCAGGCGTTCTGAGTGGTGTCTTTGGATAGCCGTCTGGAGCCAGACCTGGTGTCACAGGACCATGTCCATTCTCCTGGCAACTTGCTGGCTTCCTTCTCCACCTGTTCTTCACCTGTGGCTTCTTCAGCTGCATCGGCTAGTCGTTGTCGTGCAGCAAACTTGGTCTTCACGAGGATGCCTTGAACTGAGTATTGCCACGGGAGTTCACGACTTTAGACTCTGACTCCGCCGCGTAGAGAGCTGTGCCCCATTGCTTTTCCTCTGGCGCGCCCGTGGTGTACGTAAACCCGTAGTCAAAGCTGATCACTGGTCTTCCTCTATCCTTTCTGTCACTTTGGTCTTCTTTTGTACGAGGATCTTCTTTTGACCGTGTTGCAACACACTGTTGGCACCATGGTTGGAACGGCAGGTGCGTCAATTGGTGTAGTTCTTGTTCGCGTCGACTGGGCAGCTTGGGCGTCTTCAACGGAATGGCCTCTCTCCTGCTTTCACTGAACAGCCTTTGTGCTACTTCATAGGCCATCTTCTCCTCTTGCTGATGCTTGTAGCGCTGCATGAACCTGACGTAGCCAACTCAAGCTGTTTGCAGATCTCTTGCAGGGCCTTCAGCTTTGTTTCTTTGTCAAACCATGTTTCGTCGATCTGCACCTTCAGTTCGTCTGGATCAACGAACTCAACATCCTCCAAGATCTCTGCCCGTCCTCCACTACCTGCTGCCAGCATGGGGAACTCTCCACCTTCTTCGTCTCTCTCATCATCTGGCCAAGACGACGGCTCTCCGCAGTGGGTATTGGAACCTCCGAGTTCAACGCGAAGTAGTCTCGAATCAGTCCTGGAGCCACAAATGTCAAGGTCGGCCGCGGTCCTGCAGGTAGAGCTCGAAAGGGCAATGGAGTGTCCTTGTACGCAGCTAAGCTCTCAATCTGTTCCCAAGCTCCTGAGTTGTCCTTCTTCACCAAGGTCATACGTCCACACCATTCAGGGCCGAAGGAGGGACTTGGATCGAGGAAGTGCGTTGCTTGTGGACTTGAATGCACCACTATTCCATTTGGCAAAGCGTGCCATCCAGGCATCTTCTCCAGTAGACCCAATTCTCGCGACAGCACTTCTCTTCACTCCTCGCTCCACTTATACATCTTCGAGACTCTCCTTGTCCTCTTCTGCTCCTCCAGCATTGTTCAATGCCTGAGTCCTGTCATTCGGCGCCATGGACTCCATCTCCTTCTGTCGCTCTTCGTCCAAATCTTCTTCAGCTCGAACTGCACAGACCTTCACATCCATGACCAGAGAGTTTCTTTCAAGTCTGGCCGGGATCTGCATCTTCTTCTCGGGGTGCTCCAAGTATAGACCATGCTGATCACAAGCACCCATCCTTGCCTGAGGAGTCGACCAAAGCTTAGCAATGGATGTGTTACACCGACTCCCAACACGAACTGCTCGACGAATTCCACCATCTCTCCACTTCGAGTGTAGGCCTGAAGCAGCAGTCTGCGGTTTCCAGCACTCTTGATGGCCTCTGTGCGTCGACCATCTGCACAGATCGCTGCTGACCTGGAACCCATCTGGTAGTACTCCTCCGGCGCAACGGACACATCTGCTCCACATTCAAGGGTAATGTCACTGTAGGGGCCTCACTCTTCACCATGCACACCTTGCACATGCCCAACTCTATGTCCTCGTATTGGGCTCGAAAAACTTGATCTCCTGTCTCCTCCAATGACGGAGTACCTGGCGGCTCAACCTCATCTCCACTGTGGGAATCGTAGAAGATCTCTTTCTCCTCGGATGCAGTACTCTGCACCTCCTTCACCATCTTGATGGCCCATGCCATCTCCTCATCTTCTGAAGGGACCGGCTCCTCAGGCGAGTCGTCCTGGGTCAAATCGAAAATCTCCATTGTTGCTAGTCCTGTAGGCGTGACCAGTCTCACCCTCCTGACTCCAGCACGGTAGGTGGTCCACCAGGTTGAACTTGATCTTTTCCTTGCTGGCTGGACTGTCCACTCTTGTTGACCTCTGAGGCCTCCTGATCTTCTACCGTGCTCTCTTGGGGGCCCAACATTCTCGGGCAAAGTGCCCTGGCTTGCCGCAGTTGTGACACGTCCCAACTCCAGCCTTGCCTTTTCTTCCATCTTGCTTCCCTGAGCTCTTAGCTTACCACCTTTGCCGCCTTTCTTGCCTCCGTCTTTGGACCAGAAGCTCTTCCCTTTTGAATTCTTGCCCTTCTCCTTGCCCTTCTTTCCTTTCTTTCCACCCTTCTTACCTCCTTTTGCCCACACAGCATCCACTTCCATTGGTAAGCCACGATCTTCTTGATCCATGAGCGGCTTCACATTCATCTGCACGGCGCCATCACTCATCCAACGTTGGCTCACCTGCTCATACATCTCGATGCGTTGCCTCAAGTCCTCGAACGTAGTGTCATCCTGCAACGTCATCTGCGCGTGAAGCCTGAGGGTGGCTGGCAAGGCTGCTATCACCGAGGCAATCTTTAGGTCGTCCGGGTAGGTCACGTTTGCACTCCTTTCGTACTCTCTTACCATCAGGTCGTACTGGGGCAGCTGCTCGTTCACCGTCTTGCCTCCATCGAACTGAACCTTGTTCAAAGACTGGATGAGGGCCAATGAACGCTGCCTGGTTCGAGGCTGCAAGTCTTGGTGAGCACTCTCCAAGCCTCCAGGCCGTTCTGGCCTGCCACACCTCGTACCAACCGGAGGGGTCTCTGCTTCATGAGGCCTGTCAACAAAGAGTACAAGCGTTCAGATTGGGGTCTCGCCGTAGGGAGTCCGTCGTTGATCGGTGCCTCCTCCTTTTCAGCGTTCTTCATGTGGGACAGCACGCTCGGGTCAACTGCTCCCACAAATGTTTCAAATTGAAACCGCCAGTCCATCCACTTGTTCAATTCTTCACCTCTATTCTCTGGGGAGAAAGTCGTAGGGGGCTTCAGATGCTTGATGAAACCCGAACTCCGCTGCACCTCGATCATGCTGCGCTTGCGCAAGCCCCTGAACCCCAGTCACTGCACCTGTGGATGGCGCCGACTCAGCCGCTCCCATGCCCTCGTGCTCGTCCAAGCCAGCCATGTGCGTGACCCGGCTACTAGTCTACCCGGGCTTTCGGTAGACCGTTGAATCCCCAGTGGATTGATCCCCAAAAGGGTACCTGGAGTTGTGGGGGCTGCCCACAGAGCTCCGCTACCATGAAACACAGCGCGCGCCGTTTTGGACACCTGAGTTTGGGCCTTGAGTGCACAGCGTGCTTCGTATGTGTTCCAGCATGCCATCATGTCATTGGAAATGTCTCAGATTCTATCAAAGAGACAAAATCATACAAAATACTGACAGTAATGAGGTCCAAGGAACGAGTGAGTTCGCTCTTCCCTACCTGCAATACCTACGCACACCAGAAACCTATATTGCTGTTTCATAATCCGGTAGTCTTTCTTTCAGAAGATCTGGACTGTCTCATCTTGCCTAAGTGAGCCTCATAGATTTTCAAATTCTCCGGGCGATGAGGCCTGCGTGTGAGTGCGGACTGCTAGTCTTGTAGCATCGCAAATTGACATCAATTAAGTGGATTGCTATCTGAACTCGGTTTCAACTTGGATTTCCATCCACTTCGACTTTCCCGAAGCCTTGCATGTCTCATCCTGTAGCGTGCTGAAGGAGGCGGCTCCCACATGACACCGTTGAGAACATTCACGTCAAGGTTCTGCCAGGCTCAGCTCAATGCAAATAGAGAACATGTTTCCTATTGAATGTTTAACAAATTGGGCGTCAAAATGTCCAAAATCGGTCAACAACAAACCGAATAGTGCAAAGAAGTGCGTTGTCGCGAACTCTCAAGGCTTCGCCCCTGGCCTGCCGTGCCAATTTGGTCCAAGCGGGGACACGCTCCACAGTGCCACACTCTGTCTGTATTCTCAAACCTCTCGTCCAACCAGCCCCGCAAATCACAAGCAAACAAATTTCTAAGCGCTTATCCATTTCACTAAGGACCTTGCGAAATTGGGACCTGCAAGCAAGGCGAGTCTGTTCCATGTGGTACCTAGAACTGTATTCCTCGATGTAGAACCTTTCCCTCCACGCCTGTGAGGCACAGCCCATTTTCCATCTTTCTTGTCGGGCAAATCAATGCTCCAACGGCCAAATTCACCTGGCATTTGGCGAAGGAGGGCCCAACATCAAACAGTGAATGCACATGGGGCCATATGATAAGCAGATATGATAAATAAATAAGAGATTATATAAAATAATATAATATATATATATATATTAGCTAAGTCCTGCTACGGCGTTACAGCAAAGCTCACCAGAGCAAAATACAAATTTGTTAGACTGTTAGATGGCACGCATAGCTCTGCAACGCTGCTGCAATGTTTTGACGGGAGTTCTGACCCTCTGCGGAGATCTTGCGTGTCGAGGGCGCGAAATGCAGGCGAGAGTGCATTTTGTCCCTCTGCGGAGATCGTGCGTGTCGAGGGCACGAAACGCAGGCGAGAGTGTGTTTTGACCCGGTCCGGCGCAACCCTCTGCGGAGATCGTGCGTGTGGAGTGCGCGAAACGCAGGCGCGAGCGCGATTTGTCCTGCTCGCGAGCAACCCTCTGCAGAGATCGTGCGTGTCGAATGCGCGAAATGCAGGCGAGAGTGCGTTTTGGATTTGGCGCGGGCAACCCTCTGCGGAGATCGTGCGCGTCGAGGGCGCGAAATGCAGGCGAGAGTGCGTTTTGGCCCGGTCCGGCGCAACTTTAGTACGCGGAGCAATCTGTGGGGCTGGAAGCTGAGAACTGGCGACTTTGTAGTACAACTTTAGTACGCGGAGCAATCTGTGGAGCTGGAAGCTGAGAACTGGCGACTTTGTAGTCTTTTTAGTACGCAGAGCAATCTGTGGAGCTGGAAGCTGAGAACTGGCGACTTTGTAGTACAACTTGGAGTACGCGGAGAAACCTGTGGAGCTGGACGCCGAGAACTGGCGACTTTGTAGTACAACTTTAGTACGCGGAGTATCTGGGGAGCTGGAAGATGAGAACCGGTGACTTTGTAGTACAACTTTAGTATGCGGAGCAATCTGTGGAGCTGGAAGCTGAGAACTGGCGACTTTGTAGCGCAACTTGAGTACGCGGAGTATCTGGGGAGCTGGGGAGCTGGAAGCTGAGAACTGGCGACTTTGTAGTACAACTTTAGTACGCGGATGAGTCATCTCTCGCGGCTGAGGCATCTCTCGCGGCTGCTCTCGCGCCCCTGCAGCTGAGTCATGTCTCCCGACCACCCGGCTCTCTTGAGAGGCTGAGAAATTTTAGCTACTTTGCTTACTCATAAGTGGCTGCCACAAAAGAGTCACCGTGACGTTAGTATGTGTGTACTTCACCTTCATGACAAACGATGTTCGCTTGGAATACGCGAGTCGCTTGTCATGATCGTGACGTCGTTTACTCTCAGGTCGCCCTGTTCGCGGAAACTTCAGTGTGAAATGTACGTTCTTCAGTTCTATTTGAACCTCTTCAGCGTTGTACTTGCGCAACTAAGGTTGACGTCACGCTGCCGTTGCATCGACGCATCTACGTCTACACCCCCTCACCTCTCTACATTTAGATCTTCACACGCTCACATCCGCAGATCTACCTCTCCACCTCACCACACCCACACATCTGCACATCTATATCACATCTGTACATCCACACTGTTGCTCCTTCACATCTGTCCTGTCTTTAGTTCTTCCTACATATCTTTTCTCTCGTCTCTGTGCATTTACATCTTCGCACGCTCGCATCCACAGATCTACCTCTCCACCTCCATACATCTACAGATCATCACACCTGCACATCCACACTCCACACTGTCACTCCTTCACATCCACCCTCTCTTTCTCTCTTTCTATACATCTTTTCGACAGTGCTGGACAATTACATGTCTCGCTCTCGGGCCAACCGTCGTCTAGTTTTGAGCAGCTCTGGTTTGAATTGACACATTGTTTCCTGTTACTGGTGAGCCAGCCAAAAGAATCATTCACAATCTGTGAAGTGTATCGGATACTATTTGAGTCGTTCATGGTGCTGCTTGACTTCATGATTATAGTAATATGTTTTGTTGGAAACTCTATGACACTATGATATAATCACTCACACTCCATGAAGTGCATCGGCAACGGTAACATTCATTCACTGGGCTGATTATAGAACGCTACTTTTGTTCAAAGCCAGCAAAACTGTGCAATCACTGATCAGCAAACACCTTTTTCCAGACTGGTGACTGGTGAGTGTGTTTCGGTAACACAGCGCCAACTACCGAATTAAGGGGCCCCGTGCCCCTCAACCAAACTGCAAATTGTGTTTGCATAGATATGTGGCGCAATGCCCTTCAGCCAAAAATGTGAGCCGTGTTTCCATGACACAGCGCCCTCGGCACTGAGTCCTTCAGCAAAACAACTTCTCACTGATTCATTGCACGACAGCGCCTTCTGCAATCCACCGTTCAGGTTCAGACAGATCTTGTTCTGCGTCTCTGCCTTGAGCCAGCCTGATGTTCACAGGTCGTAGGAAGATGCCATAGAACCTGGAAGCAAGATCACCTCAGATCAACTTCACCAATTCAAAGTATTAAGACTCATACAGTCAAATTAGCCAGGGCACTATTGCGCCAAAAAAAAAATTCTCCGGATCCTTGAAGGACATTGTAGCCACATAAGTCTTTCCAGCGTATGGGACATATATATGTCCAACCCCCTCATACGCGGCTTCGATCTCCCGCACCAATTGCGCCGGTTTGAGTTTCCTTTGCCCAGGCTCAAGCTTGAGAGAGGCGCCACTCTGTCCAGGACTGGAGAAATGAACACACGCGCTGCGTCAAACACTCTGTCGCAATCCTTATTATTCAGACCATGGAACAAATGAGGTCACCACGAAAAAGCTAATCAAACACATTGCGCAGAGCCAAGTCACTTCAAAGTGGGATGCGTATCGGCCATGATTTTTCGACCACAAAGCGACCAGGGCCATATTTCCTCAAACCAAATTGTCAGACAAGAAAAACTGTCAAGTCAAGCGCTTCCTTCATTCAGGTTACCTATCCTATCCTATCCCTATCCCTATCCTACATCAAACAACCAACCCATCAACCCACCTAAGGCTGGCACTCTTTATGGACCTCATCCACTCTGGCAGTGTGCTGGGTCGCTTCAGCCAACGGCGCCCAGATCCTCAGAAAGAGAAAACTATTTCAAGCTGATTTGGATTCTAGAGGAAACTCAGATGGTTGATTTGCATCCTGGATACATGTGGCGTTGGCCGCCTTGGTCTTGCAAGACCAATTTATCCAACTCCAGTGCGTCAAAGTACTTCTCAATGCCATCATCATCCGCTATGCCACTGACTGCTAATCGGGCAGCTGCCATCTTGATTGATGGTCAAAAATTCACAACCCTCACGCTTGAACCCTCTTAAAACTGCAAACGACTCAGACAATGAATGTTGGTTGCGTGACGCCAAGCCCAAGACCACAACCAACATAACAAACTCATATCATATGGAAACAAATAAATGATCTGTTTGAATACTCTAATGATGAATCGAAAAAAACTAGCAAAAACAAACCTCGCAAGCCATAATAGACTCACAACAGGTCACTATCGCTCTGAACACACCCATCCATCGTTTTGCGCTTTCCAGGATGTAGGCGCTGCAAATGCTTCGATCCAAGGCGGTGTCTACCAAATCTTTCGACTTTCGATCTCGACAAATGGCGGCGCTGACAACATCCATCAGCCACTGTCTGATTAGCGCAGTGCTCTTCGGCATCATTGGAATCTGCAGCAGCTCGGGTCCTCTGCCACGGTCCCTGCCCCGACTTCTGCTGCTTCTTCTTCTTCTTGATGCGTCAGTGTCAGCGCTCAACCTCACTGTTGAACTATTGAATAAACTAAACTAAACACTGTCAAACAAACGCGCAAACGCGACGCAGCTTTAAGACTTGTTGGGCGAGCTGCTGAGGAGGTCGAACTTCTCGGACCAGCAAGCTGCACAGCCCGCAAACCCTAAGCAGTTGCGAGAACAATAGGGAAAGCAGAATACACAATTATACATTTGTCATGTTTGATTCAGGCAAGCAGCATTCCATGCGTTCGGGGGTCCCGTTCATCCAACTCATCAAGCATTTCCCTTTATCGAACCCACCATGTGGTTGAAATCGAGCTTTTTGAAAAATCGGCGCTGTGCTTCCGTCATGGCCATGGCTCACTGACAGTGACTACTTCAATGTGAAAAGAATGCAGGCTGAGCAACTGAGACACAGTAAACCCTTAGCAACAGCAATTCATTGCGACTTTCTTTTCAGTCAATCAAGACAGCGTCACCATTGGCCAATTGCTGCATCGTCAGTGGCCTCAGTCAGCAACACCATGCAAAACACAAAGCTACCTCTCCATTCATTCCTCAATTTTGCAACTTTAGCGCATGATACAGAAGACATGACTGACTCTCTCCAAGTAGGCTGACTGCAGCACACCCCAAATACGCAAAAAGGGCACTGAGAAGCCAACGCAAAAGTCGCCAGCAAGCCAACTAACTTTTTGCTTGCACTCATTAATTTGTCAGGCTACACAAAGAATGTTGAAGGGCTCTGTGCCATTAGCCGAGTGCCCATTAACACTTTGCAACAGTGCCTTCATGCGCATATCTGCGCCATTGAAATGGTACTGTGTTAGACAGCAGGCTTGCCTGACTGAGTTGGCAAATTAAGCACTATATGCCCATCTGCAAGAATTGGCAAACTAGGCACTGTGCCCATCAGCAATGCAAGGTTGCCTACTTGCTGTTGTACCTGATAGGAACAACCGGAAACAATTGACGCACCAAACTCCCGCGCGTACACTTCTGACTGCTGCAAGCACTCTTTTTTGCCAGTGAACCGGCCATCGTGACAACTGCCAAAGTGGTAACTGCCAGTTTGTTCAATTCTTCTGCTGTTCGACCAAAGTTGATATGGCTTCAATGAAGCCTGCCCAAAAGCAGCGCCATATGTACTTGTCACGCGAGCGTTTGAGAACTTCAATACCAGTGAAAGATTCGCGCACAGAGGCAGTGTACTTCCCCGAGGCTGCTCCACAACTGCAACATTGCCCACCAGGAAAGCAAGCAAGTAGAGCAAAGCAGTCACATCCATCAAGGCATTCCCATCGCGCACGAATTGTTTGGAGCAATCTCCCAAAAAAGACATTTCCCTCGTGCCTTTGAGCTTGACATTGGCGCAAGGGCACAAACGAAGAGCACTTCGTGGCCATCCAATTCAAGGCATGCATCTCGCAGCTGAAAATGCCCTCCAAGGCCAATTGCAGTCCAGAAGGTTTTGTCAAATCATGATGTTCCTCGCTGTACAGGATATCCATGGCCATCCCAAACCACCCGTTTTTGATGCATTCATTCCCGGCTAAGGTTGCCATGGCCTGCAAAGTACTCCACAAAGTCAAACTGGGATTCATGCGCTGTCTCTGCACGGGTCTTCCAACGGCACAGCACCAAGGCAGTGAGCGTGTCAACCAAGCACCAGCCCTGCATTTCTGGAAAGACTTTGACCAGCGTTGGACACCAGCGTTATAATGTTGCCAAAGAATTGTTGCTAGACTTATCAAGCTCAAGAAAGTCTTGAAGAATAGGTAGTTGAAGGTCAGCAATGAAAGCAGGCTCTCCCCAAGTGAAATTTCCAACTTCATCAATCTGGAGCCACTGAGACCCTCGGCTATTGCTGAGCAAAAGAAAGATATGGTTGAAGCATTTCTTGCGACAAAGCAACTTGTTCGAAGCTGGGAGCAACTTGTTGTCATGGTGATTTGTTGGTCACTGTAATTTATCTGATTCTTGTGCTTTTTGCTGTTGAAATATTCAATGATGTGGACTCCACCTAGGTCTCCAGCAAGTGAGATCTTCCAGGACTTTGCGCCCCTCGTTGCTTCAGATTTGGTGATTTTTGAAGACTGGGACAGTGGCGGCGTTGATGCAGATGCATTATGGAATATTGCCTTTGAGTCCGCAAATTCCTTAAGGAAGGATCAGTGGCGAAAACGTCCCGATGGTTCAGTTGGAACCAGTGTGCAGAGGAGCAGCTGGGTGATTGGCACACATTCAAGATGGTGCTCACTGACCATTTCAAGTCGAAGGGCTCTGTGCCAAATGAAGAGGAGAAATCCAATGAGACAAATGACAGGGAGATGCTGGCCTCTGAGTCCAAACGAAAAAACAATGAAAGTGAAAATTGGCAATTGCTCAAACAAACTGCAGGAGCATTCCCACTGGCGGTCAAGATCATGACTCCTGAGCTTCACACCCATGCCCTTGTGGAGCTGGTATACGAGGCAGGTGAAGGAGGTCAAAACCCAGTTCCACGCACTTGACTACGCCATCTCAATGGTGTTGCAAAGGTTCTTTGCAGTGAGGAGGTATCAAAGTTCAATTGTGAAAATGGTTCCCTGTCAGCGCTCAAAATATTTGGCTTGGCTACGCAGTTGCTTGCACGGCGGACATGGTCTTTGGCTGTTGGGCACGCCCTGCCCCCAGAGCAATATGCTGGAGCGCTCTCTCCTGAGAATGAAATTTGCAAGACACCCCTGGAGCTTTTGAGGAAGCATCACGAATGCCTTCTGAAATGGGAGGATGATGTTGCCAATGATCCAAGTTTGAAGGAAAGTGTTGTTGCTCAGCAGCTCAAAGAAAATTTTTGCTTTGCAGTCAACCATCCGGCAAGACTTATGATGGATGCATTTGAAAGCATTGGCTATGACCACAGGCGACTGCGAGGATATGGCTACAAGACCAGCGTGGTACTGGGGCAGAACCATATAAGGAAGCTGGAGAACACTTGCTGCAGACATTGATCCAAACATTCCCTGATAACAAGATCGTTGAAGATGTTCACAATGCCTTGCGATTGGAAGCCAGGGGAAACAAAAATGACAAGTTGACGCCTTCAACCATGCAATCGGTTCGCATGAACTCTGGAATCCTTGAAAGCCGTGGCATTTCACACAAAGCTGAAGTAACTGAGTCTGAGTTTATTCGGTCACTGGGCGAATCTGGAGGAGTCAAGGAAATTTACTTGGCAAAGGCGCGCACGTTGCCTGAAGAAAATATTAAACTATGCGGCGCGTTGTCAGCGTCCGGTGATTCTGGAGCGTGGCTGCAAGACCATCTTGCACATGGGTCCGCAAGCGCGGACGCGTCGGATATCTCCAACAAAGCCATAGCAGAGCTCTGAGCAAAGCAACATCGGCAAGCGGTACTTAGAGCAGCAGGCCCCGCGAATTCATACGAAGTACAAGCCAGGTTGCGTCAAGGACTTGGCGTTCATATAGCCGAGCCGGCGAACGCAGTTCTGAAATCAAAACTCAAAGGCAGCGTGGGTGGAGTGGATCAAGGGTGACGCTTGGCTTCTATCGAAACTTCCGCCCGCCTTATGCTCAGCGCCGTTTGGAGGCAGAGCGTGCTGCGGACGAGGGTGATGCCACGTTTCAAACAACAGAGCATTGCATTCACATGTGATTCTTCTATTGCAGTCTTCACTTCCCAGCTGTCGGATGAGAATGAGACTGTGTTTACTTCAACAAGCCCATCCATAAAGGACCACAGGAAGCAACATGTTTCATTTAGCATTTTGTTTGGCTGGCCATGTGCGCCAATGATTTACTAGCTACTAAAGGTTCACTTGAGATTCACTTGAAGACGAGTTTGCCCACGCGATGCAAATGTGGGAACCACTGGAACCACCATTTAAAGAGAAGAAAAGAGTGATAGCTGACGAGATTGGCTGAATAATTTTATTGTTTTTGTGCTTTTAACCGTTTTACGGGTTTACCGCTTTATCGCAGACACTGGCTGTGTGGAGGTTTTTACCGTTTTGCAGTTTTACTGGTTTTGCCGGGCCTTGGCGTACGAGGAACTCCTTAAGCTCAAAGTCCACGCACAGCCAGCACAAGAAACGGTGCAAAAAGCTTCGTGCTAGCTGCTAGATCAACTGGCAACAAACTCGTCTATCTGTGTAGGACGGTAAGCCTGTGTTGTGTGGCCCGTAAGTATGCTAGCCACATGGCTTTCTCTGATGCAAGAATAGAACGGTAGCTCTTGTGTTCCTTCTTCCGTGTTATGGTCTGACACTGAGGCACAGCTTGGTTGGTCACCAATGCAGTCCGCGTAAGCAGTGATAAATTGAACGGTAGGTAGGCACGAAAGCCAAAGAACGGATGGCGTGGCCAAGCAGAGAGTGCTTGATGCACCGAGAGGGACCCAGGGAAATAGTCAATTGTAATGTAGCACTCAGGCACATGAAATGACACATTGTTGGAAATGTATGGAAAGGTGGTGCGATTCATTGGTTGTTGAGAGAAAAGAGATATCATTCCGAATCTTATTCATGATGTCAGTCAGGGTGTTCTGAAACAAGTGGGTTGCACAAATTCCACCCACAAGTGCCCGACATGGGCAGCTCCATTTGTGAATGGTGGCTGATGCATGTCATATTCTTGGCAAAGGTCCGACGGTTGAATGAGATGAATTGGCAGGGAGTTCAAACCTTCAAACTTCAAATCACAATTGAATTGAAGGTCACATCTTGTTGAAGTGGCCTGATTTTAGTTTGCAATTTCTTGTGCTCTTTTTGCTGGGGACATCTTTCACGTGGTCCACACGTTGGAGTTGAGCCCAAATGGCATGGGGCATGGCTCCTAGGTTTGGTTGCGCCACAATAGCTCAGCCGGCTTCCTTCAACCTGTTGTGGGTTTCTAGGACACAATCAGGAAAATCAGCTTTGCCTTCAGAAGCCTCTTCAAATCCGTCACGGGCAGTATCTTTGCTAGCTGCATCATACCGGTAACACCTACAAGCGCGAATGACAAATAGCCCATGTCTTTAAAATGGCAGCAATTCTACACTTGGCTCGATGCCTTTCTCTATGATGTTTGCCGTATCCATCTTGGGCAGTTGCGAAGGCAAGCAGTTCTCCTGGCGCCTTAATTCCTTGCGTGCCTTGTTGTACAATGATAGTAATAGTAATAATACTAATAAACAGAATAGCACAGTATAATCTATAGATATGTATACATATATATATATATACATAGGTAGAATATACCTCCCGCCAGATGCTCCGTACTGGCTTATGCCGGACTTGTGCCACGTCGTTGTGCTGTGCCCGTGACAAAGGGAATTCTATTCAGGCAAAGTACATTAGCCTCGCCGTGTGACTTGCCAAAAGCCTGTTGGGGAAAGCCTCCAACAAACACCCACAAACAAATGCCTACAGCCTTGCTGGCCAGCTCAAATCTAAACCCACAACTCCACAAAAATGCAAAGGAGAAAAGGACAACCTGCTTCTCTGGGTGGCTGAGCTTATTTATTCTATCTTTCAACCTACCAATTCATTTGGCAACCGGCAGGCCTGGTTGCAAGGGATGCGTGTTCTCCTTTCATCCAGTGTGTGCTCAAACAAAGGTTCCAAGCAAAGGGATCAGGCTGAGCTTCAAGGCACTAACTCGATGTTGCAGAAAAATGTTTGAAACTATATACTTATTTGAGTCAAGGCTCCCAATTGTTGAAGTCGCCAATGAGAAACGCTTTTCGCGCTTCTGGGAGCCACTCTGTGAATGTCCACTTGTGCTCCAACTCATGCCTCATCGTGACTAGTTCTAGTTGAAGAAAGCAAGAGATGAAAAAAGGAAGGCCAAGGAAAGGGGCCTCACCTGACTTTCTTCATATCTTTTCTATTCTCTTGTTTGCGTAAGGTTGCTGTTTGCATAAAATTTTCAAAGCCACAAAGGAATACCAAGGATATATATAGTTATGTCTGACTCTCATCGTGTGCAAGTGCCTCTGAAATCCGAAGGTATTGTATCCTTCAGCAAATTGATCAATTCCGCCCTCATTCCTCCTGAACCTTAGAACACAGGTTAGCAAGTCTGCCCTGAAATCCGTCCTCAGTACTTGTGACAAACAAATGCTTGGTATACCTAAGCTATGCACTCTTCCTTCCAGCCACGGAAAGCATTGATGCGGTGCATGACGCGAGATTCCTTGTCATGAAGAAGGGTTGCCAAATCATGCCAAATCAGTATTAATTGAGGTTCATCGCCCCCAAGCTCTTGCCGAGAAGTTTGATGATTTCTTTGCACGGCAACCCAGGCCCGAGCATGCGAGCAGAGATGAGGATCATCCTTGAAAACTGGCAACATTGTCCTGAGAAGTTGCACTTAGCCACAGTCCCGTTCACCATTGGCTAGGCTTGCACACAAACGCCTATGTATACAAGCTCATAATACGACCGTCACATCTATCGACTGTCCTGGATGGACCTTGCTCTTGCTTACTGCGAGCGCACTTTCAAAGGCAAGCCTTAGAGTCTGACCAATCATTGCAGTGATTTTTTTTGCCACTGCTTGTGGGTTCTCTGGGCGGAAGCCGGAAGCTGATGTGATAGCAACATCGTTAAAAAAATAAACATATGCTCTCTCAGTGCTTCTCTCTCATAGGGACTTCAGGAAAGTGACAAGGCCAAAGGCAAGGTCGTTAAGGGGAACGCAACCAAGATTGTCCAGGATGCTCGGTGTGCAATCTATTCGATCCCGAAACGCATTGGTGATGTGGGGTCAGCTGGTTGGAATGAGATTGGATGTCTTGAGATTCCTGAGACAAAGTCAAACAAGCCAGCAACTGGAAGATTTGATAGGGCTCATGGCTCGTGAGACGAGTGTGACAGTGGTTGATTGCTCAGAGGGCAACCACAGTAAATCATATAGAAAGGTATCCTTTTGAAAGCGGGGTGAAAGCAGCTTCTCAGTTTCAGCTTTTGGCCTAGCAGCCTAGCAATCAGCTCGCTAGAATTGCAGCAGCAGTGCACTAGCCTTTAGACGCTGCTCAATGATGCTGGCTGGGCATTGATCCGTCTGAGGATCGTTTTTTAAAGCCGACCTCCCCCCACGTCCCTACTTAATTCAGTAAGGCACTGGTAAGATACTAGACAGGACGCAGGATAGCTCATGCTTCTTCAAGGAAGCTCCCCCCACCTGAAGGCGGGGGGAGCTTCCTTGAAGAAGCGCTGACACCAATGATCTGGTTCCTGAATTTTAGGGAAACTTAAGCTATTAAGATCTAGCAAGTACCAATGTCGAAAGCGCTCTCACTCTGTGATAAAAACAAGCAAAATCGAACAGACATGCATGATAGACCACGAGCAATAACACAGTCTAAATAGTCTAAGTTTAGTGGAAGGTTTGATCGCAAAACAGGCTCCGCTCTGAGGGGAAGGCTCACAATTCTCTGGCAAGATTCGAAAGCTAGAAAGATCCGCCCCTGCAAGGAATCTCTACAGACTCTAAAGTCTAAAGATCCAGGTGTGTTCTGTGGTTGAGTTCTGAAATACCTTGTTGTATTATGTTTTCCTCTAAAATCTGAGCCCACACGTCGCCAGAAAAGCCAGCGCAGCAATGCTAATTTACTCAACACTTTGCATGCGACTCTTGCTCCTTGGACACCAAAACTTGCCAGCTGAATCAGAGCAAGTCACCCGCTCTGCAAGCGCTCGCTTCGCTTTTTGACAAAAGTGTAGCGCAGTTCAAGCTGGCCACTCATTCAGCCTTGCCTGGCCACAGGTAATGATGAGAAGTTGTAGCCTTTCAATGCCCTGGAAATGGTGACAGGTGAGGCTTCAAGTGGAGGATGAAGCAGTGACTAACACAAGTGAACACTCGTTCTGAACCTCCGCGCTCATGTCTGGTTGCACGTGGCCTCAACATCACATTGATTGTTTTCACATGTTAACGTCTTACACATCGTGTCCTTGTGCAGGCTTTAAGCAGTTGCCACTCCCCACAGTCACAGGTTGCTCCCATTTTGTCTCCAGAGAAGAGAGAAGGTGAAGGCATGCGGCCGCTGACGCCACTGCATCTGGCACCACAGCAGCTTATGCCAAGATCTGCCGAGTATGCTTGGATGGATCAAGTTCAAAGATCCATCAGACACATTCTGCGGTGAAACAGGATTCATCGACATATAGTCGATGTACACCATGCTAAATCTATGTTGGAAATACCCTTGATCCGTACATTGCAATGCCGCACAAATGAAAAAAAACACCATCAGCTTGGGACAAAAATCCGTATCAAAGCCGTTGTACCTTTTTCTGGGAAAAGCAATATATATTGCCACTGGTACAGCACCAAAATGCTGGGCAGTTGAGGCATCAGGGCACCACTTACAGCATTACCATTCACACTTTCGAATCCATTAGAAGTACGCAGATCAAAACATTGGACATTAAAGTTGATGTATTGCTGGATTCAAGCTATGAGTCTCCCACTGTACACGGAGCATGCACGCAAAGCCCCTGCTTGTCCATGGTCGTGAGCATGCAAAATAGAAGCACAGTTGGCACAGCTTCTTTGAAAAACGATGTTGAGCATTGCATGACAGCAAACCAGACTGAAAGAGCCAACCTCCTACAAGCCACCGGACACGCAGAGGCAGGTAGACACAAATACAATCTTTCCTAGTCCAAGATTCGAAACTTAGATCTTGTTGGCCGCCTGTGACAAACTACAAGCTGACCTGCTCAATTGTCTCCGAGCAATTTCATCCTCATCTTGATGAGTTCGTCACGCCGGGCATTCTCTTCCTGGACCGCCAGCATCACATGGATCAGTATATAACAAAGAAAACAACCGCACAACCCTTCAGAATCAGAACCTGGCAACCAAGATACTCAAATATTACTATATATGATTATATATGTGCAACTGCAATTGGTAGATCTTGTTGTAAATGTTTGACACAGCTCGGCACAAGCAACCGCTTGCCTCCGCCCCAACCAAGACCTGGCCCCAAACATTGTGCTCCGCAGTGTGCTTCTGAGATCTACCGTCATCTGCTCTGATCTCTACAGTGCCTCAGGGCAAATAGACAAGAACAGCAGGTATAGTACTGCAAAGTCCGTCATTTCTCACATGTCCTCACTTTTCAAAAAACGGTGTTATTCTTTTGTGCAGATGTTTAAGCAAATGCGCGCTATCGAGCAAGCGAATGTTGCACTGGCCACCATCAATCCTCAATAAATCTGTTGACTAGAAGTAAAGGTTTTAAGCACCTTGCCGGTTTCACTCACTCGCCTCTTCCTCCCAATTCCATCTCCTCCTCCTTGTTGCAGACCACCATTTCACCGTCCATCTGGTCAACAACATGAACGCGCTTGGTCTGCCTCCATTCCCAGCGTTCTTTTTTGAGGATCTCCGATTCAAGCTCTTTAATCTCTGCGTCAATGCGCTGAATGGCATCCCTCACCACTGCACCTGCATCCTTTGCTGCTCCTCCTTTTTCATGTTCGACTGCACCGCACATCTCACCAAAACGTAAGCTTTGCACCGTCTCCTCTCGAGCGAGTTCATGAATTGTTCGTGTTTGTGTGTCAACCTCTGTAACTAAGAGTTCCACCTACCTCCGCCACTGTCAAGCAGGGGGTCGCTGGGGATTCGTGCAGTCAGCGACCAACGAAGACGCTGCACGTTTCCCGTGATATGAGTCGAGGACGCTCGACTCACGTACCTGCGACAATTTTTTGAGCTTTTGACCACGCGGTCTACTCTTCTGCTTTTTGTTTCCATGGTCCTTGCACGATATACCCCAAAACCTTTTCCCACCGCAGACTTGCAGCAGACTTGCAGCCGCGCTGAGTGTCCGATCGTTTTCGAATCAAATTGCAAACAAGCTTAAACCATACTGTTCTCGCCGACCTTTTCACCGTGCGTTTCTCTCACCTTCTTCAACCTGGGAACTGAGTTAACTGCAAACCAATGTCAGAGTGTGACTCGCTCAGTCGTCCCACTTGGGCGCTGGGTGTGATCCTCCGCAAGGAGGCGCTGTTTTCACTCCGGACTACCGTGTAACGGATTCCACCTTTCCTCCATTCGTTGGATTCTCCTCACTGAATTGGCCTTTTTCAGGATTCTCAAAACACGATGCCGTCGGGCCCAAGACTTTTCTCCACTTGTATTCTCATTTGATGGATTCCAATTTCTTTCGCTGCCAGTGTTCAGTTTCAAGACCGCTTCCAAGATCAATGAATGCGATGTTCACAACCACTTTTCATGTGACTTGCTATCTTTTCAACTCCTTTCCTTCTTATGCCTTCGACAACAGGACTTTCTTTCCTCAGAATTCCACTTTCTACCTTCTAATCTTCACCGATCCGCTGCGCTGGCGCCATACCTGCAGCTGCCACCGACATTTCCAACAGAGGACTTTATCTCGATGCAGTACACTTGGCCATATCCCTATGCACCACCACCTCAACAAGCTCAGCCACTACCAGTCTATCCCATTCCACAGCATCTACCACCAGCGATCACACACTACCCTCCTGCCACCATGCCGCCACAACCAGCATGGCCACAACCGCCACAACCAGCCTGGCCACGTACAGTCCCACCTCAGTTTCAGCCAACACTGACGCCAATGTTACCACCACCCTCAGCGCCTGCCTTTCCTGCCCTATAGCTTTCCCACACAGGGGAGCGAGAGATGGGAGGTGCGTGGGTGTGGACGGGGCTGGGGATGGAAGGGAGGGGAGCGAGACGGTGTGTGGACGGGGCTGGGGAAGGGCGAGATGGGAGGCGCGCGCGGCGCTGGGGAAGGAAGGGAGGGGAGCGAGACGGGAGGTGCATGGGTGCGTGGATGGGGCGGGGGGGGGAAGAGTGAGGGGCGCGAGATGGGAGGTGTGTGGGTGTGGACGGGGCTGCGGAAGGAAGAGGGAGGGGAGCGAGAGATGCTTCGGGGACGTCGTTGTGCGAGTGGAGTGATCTTGCGCGGCTGATATGCTAGTTACGAGGACATAGTTGCATCACAAGCATCATTGCAGGCTGCTCCGGGTCAGTAGAACGAAGCATGGGTGGGGGCAGTTCTGCTCCCTGACGCGAGGGGGGCTGTGTTGCAGGGCTTATATGATGGTCTTGGGCCTTGGGCGTCCAAAATGTGCACAATGCATGCGCCAGACAGTCAAGTCATGGCCGAAACGGCAGGATTGTTGCATGCCAGAACCGCAACGCTTGAAATTTGATGGTTGGAACGAAGCATGTCCACCCAGCCTACCCAATTCACTACCACTCTCTCGTGGGATCCACATCAAGGTGTTTGGCAACAGCATCCTTTTTCAGCTTTCCTACCAGTCTTACAACCGGAACACGCCACCACCACCGATAAAGACCCGACGCCACCAGACCCTTCTACACTAGCTACTGCCGCCACATCCGCACCAACAGCACCAGCCACAGCTCCAGCACCAATTCCACCGGATTCGACCGGACCTCCAGCTCTTCCATCACAACCTTCCACTGACGCCACGACCGACACCGCCAAGCCACCACCATCCACTCCAGCCGGCTCAGCTCGATCAGATGCAGCTGACTCCACACATCCCACAGACCCACCACCTTCTCACCCAACACACCACCGGCATCGCCGCCACCGACACCATGGCCACCGACGACGTCGAAATCGCCACTGCAGAGGCCAATCTGATCGTCACCCGAGCCACAGAACTCCGCGCAGTTCTCACACCCACACCGCTTCACGCCGCCATCCCTCATCCTCCTACACATACTCTTCATATTCACGCAGCCGCTCTTTGTCGAGAAGCCGTTCCCAACACGGCATTTTTACACCACGACCCTTCCTCAGCCAATCCACAAGACAACTACCCCAACCACCCCAATGTTCGCCGTGTCCTCAATCAATGGAAAGCACCACCACATTTCAGCCAGAAAACTCCACAAGAGCAGCTCGAAATTTGGATGGACTATCACGCGCACAATTCGATACTCCAAACAAACCTCACCATGCCTACATTGCCCGCCTCCTGCTGGACAGCGGCATCACTTACAAGGACGTGTGTGATTGCCGTCAACTCACACATATCAAGTGGAACCCCACGTCACAACAATATGACCTTTTTCACTTCAACCACATCTCCACCCCCACACTCTCTCACAAAGCACACCAACGTTTTCCACCTCCAGCCACTCGCGCCACTTCCACCTCCCCTGAAATTGTCCACATCAACGCCGGCCACACTGGCTGTGTGGGCAACATCACCAACATTATACAACAAGGCCGCTTCCTCCCTAGCACTCTCCACTGTTCCCACAATCCCGGCTTCTTCGCGCAAGGCGTGCGCATCACCCAGCAACACCAACCTGACACCAGTGAACACGCCCGCATTCTCTACAACACATGGAATATGGCAAAGAACGCCCATTCCGTGATTGTTTCCCTCCTGGCATGGGGGGCGGGCACCAAATTTACACAAGGAGGAGAAGAACATGCCGCCC